GCAACCAGCAGCCCAACCCCTTGGTCTGGACGGTAGAGCGACGGTCTCGCTCCACGCAGGTCGGCGTTCAATCTCCGACCGTCCACGGGGTTGGGCACCATTCCTTCCCCCCGTCCCATCCCAAAACCTTATCCTGATCCCTTCCCAGTGCTATATAGTCGTAATGGCTTGGCGTTTTCTCCTGATAGTTCCATTCCCTTCTAGCAACTAGCAGGGGATGCTTGCTAGTGATATGGTCTGTCTGTCTGTGTGTGTGTATTTACTATTTGTGTCTGCAGAATCGAGCTATTAGCTCTTGGACCCCGCTTTTCCAACCAATCTATTTTCCTCTGCTATATCTACTACATATATTTCTAACATTCGCGCGCACACACACACACATACACACATCCCTAGGAAGCAGTCCGTAGCAGCTGTCTAACTCCCAGGTACCTATTTACTGCTAGGTGTATAGGTGCATTAGGGTAAAAGAGAAACTGCCCATTTGTTTCCGCCTCGGCCGGAATCGAACCCGGGCCCTTAGGACTACGACCCCCGAGCACTGTCCACTCAGCCATGAGACCCCTGTTGTGTGGCGGTGGGTGAACGGGGACGCGTATTTAGAGCGTAAAAACGTGATTCTGTAGTGAAACATTTTAGGTAACACTAGACTATTATCCTAAAGAAGCACCACGCCTCACCACCCAACATTGCCGAGGTTATCCCTTCACTCTCTGGACGTTTTCTCGATAATGGCGAGGAAGAGGCTGGGAGCTTTTGTGATTGATGAATTCTCGTCGTATTTGAGTTTATATATATATATATATATATATATATATATATATATATATATATATATATATATATATATATATATATATATATATATATATATATATATATAAATATACATATATATATAATGTATTATTGTTGGCTTTTTCTTCTTTATCAACATTTCTACTTTAAAATCAACTAAAAATAATATAATTATTCCTATTTATTATTAATATTTTATCGTATGATATTCATTTAATTAATATTATTATAAATATTAATTCATATATTCATCATTATCATCATCAACCTTAAATAAAAATCTTCCAGCGTATTAATGAAATTTGATTCGGCTTCAGCTGACCTTAAAATTTATGTTAAGTTAATGTAAATATACTTTGAGAAGCCTTTAAATGTGGATACAATATTCATGGCCTCCTCGAAGAAATATATCAGTTTACCATAAATACAATTCGGGTTATCTATACTGATGCCATGCTATCATGAAGAACAGGGGGCTATCTACACTGATTTCAGAGTATTCTGAGGATCAGGAGTTAAGAATACAGGTGTGAGGATTCTTTTTTTTATATTCTTTAGTCCTCGACTCTTGTCATTCTTTCAGTTCTTTACCTAAAAGTTATGGGTTAAAAAGATAAGGGGTCATGAAAGATTTAATAAAAAATTATACGAATTAAATTATTAAATAATTTTTCCGTTAATTTGTAGCAGTTTAAGAGCGCAAGGTAACTAGTGTCTGTCCTCTTAACCCACTGTGTTCCCCCTTAACTCACTGTTCTTAACTCTACTCGACTCTACTCACTTCTTCTACCTTGGGCTTGCTGCCTTTTCTTGGACGCTCGACTCCATTAACTTGTCCAAACGTTCCCTGGCTCCCATTGTTGTTGACGTCCACTTGTGGTTCCTCCAATTAAGAGGCGAGTTTCTCCAGCCTCTGATATATATAGAGTTCTTGCCTCTTCCTTCTCCCTCCTCAACCACTCATTCAGTATTCAAACTTGTTTTTAACAAGTTATGTTTACATAGGTATCACATTATTTGATAATTTGCCCTTTACTGTCTCGCTGACCTTATTATCTTTGTTGAATACGTTCTTCATTATAGTGCTTTTAATTTTGTTAGGACAACTCATTTACTTAGATGGTAGTGATCAGGTTCTCAGATGGAGGTCTCGTTGTGTGTAGAAACGATGTGATCTTTGTTGGTTTCTTTGTTGTTTGTGCACTGTAAGAATTCTTATAAGAGATGTTACAGTCCTACCTATATATTGAGATCACCGTCCTACCTATATATTGAGATCACCGTCCTGCCTATATATTGAGATCACCGTCCTGCCTATATATTGAGAATACCGTCCTGCCTATATATTGAGAATACCGTCCTGCCTATATATTGAGAATACCGTCCTGCCTATATATTGAGATCACCGACCTGCCTATATATTGAGATCACCTAATATTGGATCTCCCATATATTGCGTCCTGCCTATATATTGAGATCATTTCAAGACATTTCAAGACAAAGACAACACTAGTCTTTTTTTCAAGGTTTTGAATTTTACTTCTATTTTTCTGCTTTAGTAAATGGTTGTGTCTTATAGTCACTGTCTTAGTGTCCCGATAGACGGTGGACAGAAAATACTCCAAAAATGATAAATTAATAAGGAGGACCTCCAACTCGCTCATGAAGAATTCTCCCGATACTAAATCATTAGGTTTTGCTGGGATTGGAAACCCGTATATATATATATATATATATATATATATATATATATATATATATATATATATATATATATATATATATATATACAATGTCAGACCACGGAGAAAAAATGAAACAGGAAATTTCCTTAAGTACTTTCGTATATTAAATACATCTTCAGAAGGTGTATTAAGAAGGTGTATTGACCTTCTGAAGATGTATTTAATATACGAAAGTACTTAAGGAAATTTCCTGTTTCATTTTTCCTCCGTGGTCTGACATTACATTCTTAATCACGTGTTTATTTTCGTGATATACACACATGACCGAAAAAGTAAGATTAATAATTCTAACACGAATTAATGGAGCCCTGTTGCATAAGCAACAGGGCTCCATTAAGGAACATATAATCTCTTCCCACAACCAAACCATCGCCAGAGAAATCCCAGTAAACAACACAGAAATCACCGATAGATACAGCGATAGCAGACGGCTTGACGTTTGCGAGGCACTGCACATTAAGAAGTCAACACCAGCAATCAACAGCCAATTAATGCACAACTATATTCTACCCACCTCAAGACTCCGCTCCAATATAGAAGCATCAAGAAATATGGACCAATAGGCTTTCTACAATCACTTCCATTCAATACCCATTGTTTCGTGTTCTGTCTTGTGTTGATGAATTTAATACCCTATTAATACCACCTCACCCCATCCACCTCACTCAAATGTAGATATAAACAAATCGGAGATGTGTAAGTTCTATTCAGTTGTGTAAGTGTAAACTAAAGTCTTTGAAAATGTAATAAGTTTTACGAAACGCGCTCAAGTGTCGCGTCAGACTAGAAATAAAAATGAATTTGGGAGAATTGATTTTTGAATTACCACCAGCAGTGAAAAGAAATGTACGAAAGATTGAGAAAATTCGTGTTAGAATTATTAATCTTACTTTTTCGGTCATATTATAATAATATATATATATATATATAATCCAAGTATCGTGTCTCTGCACTTTTCCCAAAGATCCGTAATTATAACTTTTGTCCACAGAGAACGGTATCTCCTCTAGAGCAGTTAGCAAGGTAATGGACAAAATATTAATTCGAGCGACAGCGTCGGACCCTGGCAGAACGGTTACGTGCGCTAGGATGAATTATGCATGGTTAGGGGTGGCAACCCAATTGCTTTATAATTAGATGAAACACTAATTCCATTTGCATTTAATTTCTGTCATTTAGCACTTGTCTACAAAACGTGGATTTTGATGTAAATGTTTGACGCCGGGTGTATCCGGCTCTCGTGTTGAAGGCGGTTGTATCCGGGTCCCATGTTGAGGGCGGCTGTGTCCGGCTCCCATGTTGTTGGTAGCTGTATCCGGCTCTCGTGTTGAAGGCGATTGTATCCGGCTCCCATGTTGATGGCAGCTGTATCCGGCTCCCATGTTGTGGGTAGCTGTATCCGGCTCTCATGTTGAAGGCAGCTGTATCCGGCTCCCATGTTGAGGGCAGCTGTATCCGGCTCCCATGTTGAGGGCAGCTGTATCCGGCTCTCATAAAGAGTAGTGTCCAGCGACCGTCAAGGGTTGCTTAACCCACAACAGCTGACATTCTAAATAATTAGAATGAACTCGTGTAGTTAATTACATACACGTGCCTTAATATCTTCGTATAGATATAGTTAATGCTTAACAAAGCACGATAATAAATAATTTTCCCCAGTGTTTAATATAATTTTAATAATTTCAGGTTTCACATAGCCTCTGTCTCCCTTATTTTGTTTTATTAATTAATGATTTCTAATTGTCTCTGATTTATGCAATTGAAATGCTCAGCCCCCCTTTGTTGGCCTGATCAATTAGTATAGCGTTTCAATACTTATTCTTGATGGCCTAAACAACTGGTATAACGTTTAAATAATAACTAATTGTTTAAACCATCACGAATATAGTGTTGTGAAAGTGTGTTGACCCCTCCCCCTCCCCCCCATCTCGACCTCAACGAGGTCAAAGGGCATCGAGATGTCGAAGTCTGTGTTTACGTGCAAGAACCTTCGTTTAATACCCTTCAGTACTCTTTGATCGCACTTGGCTTCTGATCCCGGATGATATTAGATTCCCAAAAAATTCTTTGACGCTGCTTGGCATTTTGTCTTAAACAGGCCTTAATTCCAAGTGGTCTTTGATGATGGTCTTAAAACCATGAAAATATGGTTTTAAGACCATAATCCTTAAAACCTTAAAACCAACTTAACCTTAAAACCAACTTAACGATTGCATCAATTTTGTAATTGTCCTCAGCTGACCTCCTGTATACAGTTAACATTAAATGGCTTCATAAATCCAATTGACCCATGAATCCATACGACCCTTCAATTAAACACAATTTGCAACTTTCTATCCCCATTAGTTACTAAGTGACATTTGACTCTAGGTGACCTCTGACTACAGCATACCCCTTCACACTCGTTTAACCCCTGACCAACGCTGACCCCTGACCCCAGGTGACCCCAAGACTCACCGTCGGCGGAAGTGGCGAGGCGGAGGTCGTCTGGGTACTGGTCAATGAGGCGCTTGATCAGGTCAATTTGTTCTATGGTGAGTTGAACGGCGTTGAGGCGCTGAGACTCACACGGCACATAGGAGACCCAGAACTGTGAGGAGGAGAGTAGTGTTAGTGGCGCCAGCTGTGAGCAGGAGAGTAGTGTTAGTGGCACCAGCTGTGGGCAGGAGAGTAGTGTTAGTGGCGCCAGCTGTGAGCAGGAGAGTAGTATTAGTGGCACCAGCTGTGAGCAGGAGAGTAGTGTTAGTGGCGCCAGCTGTGAGCAGGAGAGTAGTGTTAGTGGCACCAGCTGTGAGCAGGATAGTGTTAGTGGCGCCAGCTGTGAGCAGGAGAGCAGTGTTAGTGGCACCAGCTGTGAGCAGGAGAGTAGTGTTAGTGGCGCCAGCTGTGGCCAGGAGAGTAGTGTTAGTGGCGCCAGCTGTGAGCAGGAGAGTAGTGTTAGTGGCACCAGCTGTGGCCAGGAGAGTAGTGTTAGTGGCGCCAGCTGTGGCCAGGAGAGTAGTGTTAGTGGCGCCAGCTGTGGCCAGGAGAGTAGTGTTAGTGGCGCCAGCTGTGGCCAGGAGAGTAGTGTTAGTGGCGCCAGCTGTGAGCAGGAGAGTAGTGTTAGTGGCGCCAGCTGTGGCCAGGAGAGTAGTGTTAGTGGCGCCAACTGTGAGCAGGACAGCAGTGTTAGTGGCACCAGCTGTGGCCAGGAGAGTAGTGTTAGTGGCGCCAGCTGTGAGCAGGAGAGTAGTGTTAGTGGCGCCAGCTGTGAGCAGGAGAGCAGTGTTAGTGGCACCAGCTGTGGCCAGGAGAGTAGTGTTAGTGGCACCAGCTGTGAGCAGGAGAGTAGTGTTAGTGGCACCAGCTGTGAGCAGGAGAGTAGTGTTAGTGGCGCCAGCTGTGGGCAGGAGAGTAGTGTTAGTGGCGCCAACTGTGGGCAGGAGAGCAGTGTTAGTGGCGCCAACTGTGGCCAGGTCACCAAGACCCCTTACACACCACCTAGACTCACCTGGGCACCTACCATGCCCTCCTAGAGCCTGGGCAGGTCACCAAGACCACCTACACACCACCTAGACTCACCTGGGCACCTACCATGCCCTCCTTGAGCCTGGGCAGGTCACCAAGACCACCTACACACCACCTAGACTCACCTGGGCACCTACCATGCCCTCCTTGAGCCTGGGCAGGTCACCAAGGCCACCTACACACCACCTAGACTCACCTGGGCACCTACCCTGCCCTCCTTGAGCCTGGGCAGGTCGGTGTGGGACCAGGAGGAACGCGACCAAGGACGAAGCTTCTTGAGCTCGGCCGTGAAGTTGAAGCTGTGAAGTTTGTTGTGCATAAACTTCCTGATGTTCCACGGCAGGTCGTTGTGCCTGGGGGAGGAGGAGAGCCTGGTGAGGGGCACACAATATGGCGACGAGGGGAGGTGAGGGAACACAATATGGCGACGAGGGCAGGTGAGTACACACAATATGGCGACGAGGGGGGGGGGACGTATTGGCATATAGACAATACAAAATGGCTGTGAAGAGAGGAGAACATTATGCAATAGTGGATATGCCATACTGACGTACAATGTATTTGGCTGTTGTAGTTTTTAAACCACAGTTGCCGCGGCTGTTCTGGTGATCCAAACTCAGCTTAATAAGCTTGATACGCCGCTTGATCTGTTTCTGCGGACTCCACAGTACAATTGTTATATTAAGATCAAGCTCCTGCCTCTGGAAGCCCACCCACTTGGGCTGGACGGTAGAGCGACGGCCTCGCTTCATGCAGGTCGGCGTTAAATCCCCGACCGTCCAAGTGGTTGGGCACCATTCCTTTCCCTCCGTCCCATCTCAAATCCTTATCCTGACCCCTTCCAAGTACTATACACTCGTAATGGCTTAGTGCTTTCCCCCTGATAATCCCTCCCTCCTTGGATGGTAAACTACGTTAATTTGCTTCAGCTTCTTACCTGGCATGAGGACAGATGCCAGGTTACCTGTGCCATACACCCACACCTGTATGGCATCCCACCTGATGTATTTAAAGTATAATGTATATAAAAGACAAAGTTCTCCTATATTTAAGCTGCGTTCAGTAAAAGCTGAAATAGATATAACTTTTGCATCACACACTCGTCTGGGTCAGTGCTTCGAGTCACTCAAGAGCCCAGGTGAACGAAATAAGCTGCATTCATCCGTTCCAAAGGTACAGAAAAAGCCATAGAATCAACAAATCCACAAGGGCCGTGACGAGGATTCGACCCTGCGTCCGGGAGCATCCCATCCCCTAATCGACTGAGCTACGACAGGGTTAAAAAGAGAGTTGAAACCGAAGTTTTACACAGAAGTCCATAGAATCAGTTCTGAGCGTCGGACAACTTCGGTGTTGAGAAGCTTTGGCGGCGCAGCTGAAGCTTGTAAGTCTGGTAAGTGTCTGCCGCTGGAGGGGAATTAGGGTCCGCTGTTGCGTCCTTGAGCAGCAAGTTACTGTGCACTCCAGTTGTGTAGTTCCTGCCTGTTGGAGTGACAGGTTAGGGGGAGGTAAGGAGCCTCAAACCAGGTCCCGTCATTACTGGCCGGTGTTTTATGAGGGTACGCGGGCTGGGAGAGAGAGAGAGGGGGGGAGGGGGAGAGGGAGATAGAGAGAGGGAGAGACAAAGAGAGGCTAAGACAGTATATGTCCAGGTCTATGTCTCTGTCTCTCTCTCTCTCTCTCTCTCTCTCTCTCTCTCTCTCTCTCTCTCTCTCTCTCTCTCTCTCTCTCTCTCTCTCTCTCTCTCTCTCTCTCTCTCTCTCTCTCTCTCTCTCTCTCTCTCTCTCTCTCTCTCTCTCTCTCTCTCTCTCTCCCTCTCTCTCTCTGAGGGACAGAGAAATAGAGTCAGCTATAGAGGAAGAGAGAGATGGCAAGGTAAAGGAAGATAATGAACGAAGGGGTAAGGTGAGAGAAAGATGGAGAAGCGAGGCAGACAGAGAGAACAGAACAAACGAAAGAGAAACGGACGCCAAGCACGTGAGAAAAAAGAGGCACTATAGAGAGTGAAAGGGAACACTGTGGAAACTAACAAAGCAAGAAATAAAGAAAACTGAAAACAAAAAACCACTGATTCAACAAACCTCAACAAATAACACAATAGCAATAACAGATTAACAAACTGCAGAATAAACCAAAAAAAATTAAAGAGAGAAAATAAAATAGGATGGAACAACAAATGGGAGACAGAATGAGGATGAGAGATATTCACGAGAAACTGCAAGGGTTTTCTCCTCAACCCACATGAGAAATGTGAGTTGGTAAGACAATATACACAAGGGAGAGTGCTCTTCTTTCTTTTCCTTCCTTCCCTCCTTCACAACGTCCCTATAACCCATCATTTCCCCTCTCCCTCTCCCTCTCCCTCACCCTCTCCTCCTCCTCCCGTCCCCCCCCCTCACTCTTCCCTCCACCTCCCCACCTCCTCGTGTGTACGTGGATGTGCGTGTGTATGTGTGTGCATGTGTGCGCTTACCTAGTTGTACTTACCAAGTTGTGCTTGCGGGGGATTGAGATCTGGCTCTTTGGTCCCGCCTCTCAACTGTCAATCAGCGGTACAGGTTCCTGAGCCTATTGAGCTCTATCATATCTACACTAAAATCTGTGTATAGAGTCAGCCTCCACCACATCACTTCCTAACGTATTCCATTTTTTGACTACTCTGATACTACAATTCTTTCTAATGTCTTTATGGTTCATTTGGGTATTCAATTTCCACCGGTGACCTCTGGTGCGTGTGCCAATTTTGTAAATAAACTGTCTTTGTCTACCCTATCAATTACTTTGAGACTCTTGAATGTGGTGATCATGTCCCTCCCCCCCCCCTAACCCTCCTGTCTTCCAGGGACGTGAGGTTTAATTCCCGTGGTCTCTCCTCATACCTCATGTCCCCATTCCCCCCAGTTCGGGCACTACTCTGGTGGCAAACCTCTGAGCCTTCTCCAATTTAGTTTTATGCTTGACGAGATATGGACTCCATGCTGGAGCTGCATACTCCAGGTTTGGTCTGACATATGTGGTATACAAGGTTCTCAATGATTCCTTACACAAGTTTCTAAAGGCCGTTCTAATGTTGGCTAACCTGGCGTATGCCGCTGATGTTATCCTCTTAATGTGGGCTTCGGGAGACAGGTCTGGCGTGATATCAACTCCTAGGTCTTTCTCTCTGATTCTAGAAGAATTTCAAATCCCAAATGATACCTTATATCTGGCCTCCTGTTCCATACACCTATTTTCATTACGAGAGCCCTGTGGGACTCCACTGGTGATTTCTCGCCAATCTGAGGTCTCACCCCTCACTGTAACTCTCTGCTTCCTATTGCTTAGGTACTCCCTTACCCACTAGCGTGTGTAGTCACACGCACACAAAATTGTGTGTGTGTGTGTGTGTGTGTGTGTGTGTGTGTGTGTGTGTGTGTGTGTGTGTGTGTGTGTGTGTGTGTGTGTCTATACATTCACAGAACATTCTCCACAAAGAGGTAAACAGAATTTGTTAGAAAACATTCAATCATGAACCCGGCACGCGTTTCGTTCATAGAATGAAGAGGATTAAAATAGCCACAGATGGAAAGCTGGATACAACATATTTCGGAATTCACATAGTGAACGGGAGACATGTTCATGTGGCGATCGTAAGGAACAATAATATATATATATATATATATATATATATATATATATATATATATATATATATATATATATATATATATATAAATATATAATCTTGGAGGTAATCTTCAATCATGCTTTTTTATTTCCACTGAGAAAAAGACTTGGGGTAAATTTGTAATCCGCTATCCTTTCATATTTTACTAAGCTTTTGTGTCCCATTTTGTCCTCATGTGGTATGTGGACTACTGCCCTGGGCTAGGTACTGCCCTGGTACAGCTACTGCCCTGGGCTAGGTACTGCCCTGGTACAGCTACTGCACTGGGCTAGGTACTGCCCTGGGCTAGGTACTGCCCTGGTACAGCTACTACCCTGGGGTAGGTACTGCCCTGGTGGACCATTGGTAAGAGGATTACTCACATGCTAAGAAGCTTTGCACTAAGAAAGGGTTATCCGAAGATATAGACAGTGGGGGGAGGGAGGAGGAAGAAGATAGGTGCAGTGAGAGCGTCACTCCCATGATCTTTGTCCGGAGAATGGACCATCTGACAGCGTTTCATCCCTATAAACCCCTCACCACCTACTTAACGTTCAAATAATCTTCTTAACCCTTTGTGAAAATAAGCATCATGAAATTTGTTGAAAATAGACCCCAGCATTTCCCCCCCTGACACTCCAATGTGTAACCAATCATTTGCCTAGTATCTTTAGTTATATATAAAACATTATATATATATATAATGTGTGTGTGTGTGTGTCTTTTCCGTGTCAGCGAGAAGAGGTCGTTCGTGCCAACGGGGTAGAAAAAGCGGAGGAGAAATTGGCTTAATATCTCATCCCCCAACCAGCTTAGACGTGCTGGAGGAAGATCACTCCAGGCTTGCTCTTGGGACTTGGAAGGGTGGTGGGTGGTTGTGGGTGGTGATGGTGTGTGGTTGTGGGTGGTGATAGTGTGTGGTGGTGGTGTTGGTTGGTGAGGTCGTGGTGGTGCACAGTGTGAGTCGTAGTGGTGGAACAGTGTTGGAGGGTCGTAGTGGTGGAACAGTGATGGAGGGTCGTAGCTAGGTCAGAAATGGTGTTCCAACCTTCCTACAGAGTAAAGTGAAAACTTAAGACACGGTGATGTCACGTCAAACTTAGTACATGTTTAATACAGTCAACTAAAGTCATTGTGACACCTGTAGGATACGGGGCAGGCTGGATAAAAATAGGTGCGGATACCATAGTGACTTTCTAAGATACTAGTAATATCTAAGGATGGAATAAACTGCCCCATTTAAGGCTCGTTAAGATGCTGACCTGGAGAAGGCGTAGAAAACTTTTATTGCCAAAATCTATTTAAAAAACTCAAACTACATTTCATGAGATTTAGGCGAGAGATACGTCATAATTTATATTTAAACCAAATAACAGAAGGCCTGGTTCATAACCTGCACATGGAAATAATTCTGAACGAAACCAGGAGGGATGAAGCAGGAGAAGAACCACTCACAAGCCAAAAGAGCAAAAGGTACACAAAGAGAGTGCCATGGGAACGTGAAGGGTCGAAGGCTCTTCAAGTCACGATCTCTAAATATATGAGGAATTACTAAGAGCCTCTGTGTTTACGAGGTGACTAGATAAACACCTCCAAAAGCCGAACGATGAACCAGAGTCTATATAGCGCTTAAGTCAAGCTGCAAACACCAACTGTTAGCAGAAATGACAAAAATCAACTGCAAGAAACAAAACGATCAACCTGTTG